CACATCCCTGGGCACTATGGGACAATTTAGCACGGCCAATCCACCCTTAACCTGCACATCCCTGGGCACTATGGGACAATTTAGCACAGCCAACCCACCCTAACCTGCACATCTTTGGACTGTGGGAGGAAACCGGAGCACCCGGAGGAAACCCACACAGACACGGGGAGAATGTGCAAACTCCACACAGACAGTCGCCCGAGGGTGGGATTTAACCCGGGTCCCTGGCACTGTGAGGCAGCAGTGCTAACCCTTGAGCAACCTGTGTCCTTGGTGGGGAACTGGAGTTTTGATTTAGCAAAATCAACACCCATCATCACTGAGGTGATTTCACACCGTCCCCTCAGTTAATGAATAGTTGAAAATAATTTATTTTTGAAGAAAATGATGAGGTACATAGGTGTCTGAACATGTCGTCTCCCAAGAGACAGCCTCTGATTGACTGTGTCCGGGTTTTGTTACAGTTTCCGACTCCCCGACTGTCGACACTCCGGGCAGGAATGACGGAGAACTGGAAATTCAGGATGAGAGGTGAGAGCTTCCGGAATATTCTTCAGCTCAGTGGCTGCTCTTCAGATTTTTATGCGTTGTTCTGCGTCCTAACCTCCACCTCCAGTGCCAACCCCACCACCAGCAGCACCATTCCCTGGGCCAGGCTACCCTCATCTCATCACAACGTCTCTCTCCATCCCTGCTTCCCACCACCTGCTTCCCTCTGCCTTGGGATCCTTGAGTCACCCACTGCCTCAGGTATCTCAATCCCCTCTTGCCCCAGGACTCTGCACTAACTATAACCTTGCACCACCATCCATGTCCCCCATCTGACACCACACCCCAAAAACTGCCTCTCCACCCCCCCCACCAACTCATAGGTTAACCCCCTCTTCACCCCACAGCATCACCAAGCCTCTTCTCCCATTAGCTCCCAAATCCCTCATCCTGTGATCTTTCACCTAGACACTCATAGAATCCCTACAGTGCAGATAGAGGCCATTCAGCCCATTGGGTCTGCACCAACCCTCCAAAGACTATCCCATCCAGACCCAATCCTAGTAACCGTGCATTTCCCATGGCCAATCCACCCTAACCTGCACATCCCTGGGCACTACGGGACAATTTAGCATGGCCAATCCACCCTAACCTGCACATCCCTGGG